GGTAGACTGGGAAACAGGTGGGGCTATGAAACATGTCAGTGGGGGATCTGTAAGAGTCACAACAGTTGGCAGTTTTGCTTATGAGAGAAAGGACTGAAATGAAAGAAGGTATGCAAAATTTGACACACTATAGTTGGTAATGCATCAAATCTTCCTGGAAGCAGAGTTAGTAAATTCTTGACCCTGGAGAAAGAAATGGGGTACTTTATTTCCTAAACATCTTATACCTAAAGATCTGTGTTCCATTAAAACCCAACTCATGACAGGACTCCAACTGGTCCTCATGACAGGACCAGTCACGATTAAAAAATTTTAAAAAGCGGGGCACCTGGATGGTTCAGTTGGTTAAGCAGGGGACTTTGGCTCAGGTCATGATCTTGTGGTTCATGAGTTCGAGCCCTGCATTGGGTTCTCTATTGTCAGCACAGAGCCTGACTGAGATCCTCTGTCTTGCTCTCTCTCTCAAAAATAAACATTAAAAATTTGAAAAAATTAAAAAGTAGAGAAGTCAAATGAAAATTTCAAAAGTGAGAATCTACAACTCTAGCAGACAAGGGGGAAGAAAATAACTGGGGATGGGTTGTGCAAAGAGGTACACGGAGGCCTATTTCAGTTTACAACTGCTTCCCAAAGTCTGTCTCTCCTTAGAGTCCTCAGACCCAGGGCTTCCTCTATTACATTTCTTTCTTAGGACTCATATGCAATGAATCTCTTCCTTCCCAGCCCTGCTTCTCAGGTTCCCTAGACGTCTCACCCTACATGGTACCTTAGACCGCACTTTCCACTTGCACTCTAAGTTTCTTCTCTACTGTTTCTCTCATTCTGCTCATTGCCTCCCAGATCTTCCCACCGAGGCCTATGTCCTTCTCTCTAACCTTCTCGACAAACCGCCCCCCCCCTCCGCCCCGTCCTCTCGCTTTTTTGCCCAGGTACCCCCTCTGCTTCTCCTTTCTCACCCTCTTCTGTTCTACCCCAGCGGTACCCCACCAAGGAGCCTCGCGCACCCAGCTCCTGGCTGTCTTGACCCGTCTCCCGCCTTTTTAGGACCCTTTGGCTCTCCGTTACCTTCCCCTCAACCTTGGAGCCTCGAGCCTAACTCCCCCACTAGCTGGGCCAGCTCCCTCCCCTCG